TCTATTTTGAAACAAGGAATATGAGGGAGATCGTGTAAGCAGACTTAATTCATTCGAAGTCTTCGAAAAGAGCGAATAAATCAAGTAAAATTCAAATCACTGCTTGGTAAATGATCCTTAACGAACGTTGCAGCTCTGGACGTGTCGATTCTGAAGCAGGGAATATTAGCAGACTTGCACGTCTTGGACGAGTGGTGATTCTCTCGAAGACCTCCAAAGAATTGAATGAACCAAATAAAATTCAAATCCTTGGTAAATGATCATCATCAGACATCGTATCCCCGGATGTATTTGTTTTCAAACAGGAAATGTTACGAAGAACGTTTAACCGGATATCGTCACAGTCAATTTCGCACTCCCAATGGAAAGAAACAAATAAAACAAGTAGACTTTAAACCGTTGCTTGGAATATAATTATTCAACAAACGATGGTCCCGGTGTCACTTCGAAAGTAAGGAGTGTTAACACTATCGTCTGACCACGTTTACGTATTGACAGATGGTAATCCCCCAATGGCGACCAAAGAGAAGCGAATAAAGCAATATTACATTATCATATAATTCAAATTACTATTTGTTACACGATAATTAATCGACGTTGCATCCCGGTTGTCATTTCGAAAAGGAGGAAATATCAGGAAGTTCGTCTGAGCAAACTTACGTGTCGTCGCGGCATTCCGCGGCGTCGGTGAATCGCTAGATCGTCGTCTATGACGGGAGACTGGCACGATGTTGACATCCCGGCCGATATGTTGTCGTCGCGCTTAACGAGCCTCGGAGTAACGTCGTCGTTCGAAACGTATCATTTTCCAGCTATTCGACGCCGCGCGCCACCCCGTCGAAGTTCGCGCCTCGACTGCGCGAGCTTAACGACGTTTGAAGGATCATTAAACCGGGTCTGCGCGCTGATTAACTCGAGGAGAGTTAAACGAATGACCCCGACGCGGGAGAAACGACGCAGCGCGTCTGTTTAAGGGGTTTCCCAGCGGCTCGAACGAACGACGAATCCACGTTGCCACGACGACCGGCTGTAGTCGATGATTTTTTTTTCCCAAAAATCGGTCCTCTCGATTCGCGCACAATTTCACGGAAAAAAAACGTCGACGCGCGTTGGACGAGGTCGCGACGAACGCGTGGCGAAAAAAAAGAATCGCAGGCGGAAAGGCAGCGTCGAGACGCGCGGACTCGACGTCTATGTCGTCGTGAATTGCACTGGCCGGTTCAGCCCTTTAGCGATTCGTAGGGGTGGTGGCGAAAGCGCGCGAGGAGAAGGGATAACGCAGGTGGAGGGAACAGTCGTGAGCATTGGGAGGGGAGGCGGTAGGGGCGAGAGGGGGTTCGTGATAGCGAGGAGAAAGAGGTGGGAGAATGAGGAACGGGGAACAAGGGGGAGGGAATATATACCTAGCAGCATCCACGGTGCTGAAAACCACCGTGGTACATTTCGCGGGGACTCCCACGGGAAAGGGCGACAGGGGAGGGCCGGAGAGAGCCGGTGGCCTCTACGAAATTAAAACAAAAAGCGTGGGGAAACACATCGTGTCGCTCGAAACGGACTGGTACACACGCCGTCACTCTCTCCTTCTCGTCTTTTCGCTTCCCTCGACGGAGGCTCGCTCGGTCGCGCACGCTTAGCGATGGGACCGATCCAATGACATGCTCATTAAAACTGTTAGTTGCCATTGACGGGGGAACGCGGGGATTATTTTTAGTTCGTTTTATGACCGCTGGAACTAGTTTTCTCGGGGACGGAGTCAAAGGTGCTTATTTTAGGAGATGGCATGTTTTTTTAGGTACACGGTTTTTGAAATGAATGTGGCTTGCGAGACTTCGCCGTTTGTGCTAATAGGAATCGCGTCACGTCAGGAAGTGTCACTTGTGCCAAGATGAACTACCGGTATACGTTCTAGGTAAAATTTTGTATGTTAATCGTGTTAAGATCAAGTATCAGTATTTTCTAGGACGACAAATTTTAAAATATATATTCTTATTTCTTGTATAATTTTTGACGGTATATGAAAAAGTGTTAAATTGAATTTAAAAAGTATAGTCATATCGTAAAATCCGTATCCTTATTTGGTCGATTCCTTTCAAGGATTACGTAGAAAAAATTTGATTTGGATAGCTTTATTTTCGAAGGAGTTATTTTATTTTTAATTGAATTGACTTCGTTGAATTGATTTCGTGTAATTATTGGCATCTCTTCTAATACATAAGTAAGTTTTGAGAATTTATGTTTCATGAAATTACAATTACAAAATAGACATTGATTTACATTGGAGGAATATACATTATTTATATATTATTAACATTTCTTCCATCGTTAGATTAAATACCTATCGAGCTTTACCTGCTCGAATAATCGATGCAGCTCTTTGCAAATTGCAGTTCCTGAATGCAGCTCCCGAAGCTTGTTACTCCAGCCACCCCTGTAATCTGTCAAAATAATTACGACACTTTTTTGGAAGTAAATTTTTCAAAGAAATTTACGTGTTCGGAATTCCTATCGTATTAAAAAGAAAAAACATCTGTATAAATTTCAAAAGTTAAATAAATTCGATACTAATCATATGAAAGTAAAGTAATATATACTATTCCTAGGCTAGAAAAAGTTACTTCGTTACAGATATAGATCGTAGAAAGATTAATATTAGAATTAACTATTTAAACTTACTTGAAGGTTAATCTCCATAAAAAAGAAAGAAATCGATTCCTTTTGTTTAACAAACCAGAAACCCTTTCATAACGATTTGGAGAAGAATTTAATGCTCTAAAACTTGAACAAATTAGCAGAGAAGGAGGTAACCAGGAGGAATCGATTGGATAGAGACTAATCATTCGAAGAGATTTCTTCGAACGGTTTAACGCAAGCTTCGGAGCAGATTCCAGAGATAAAACACGTTTCAGTCCCATCGCTACGCGCTCTCGTTCTTTTTTCGCCACTCGAGCAGGGCGTAGTGGTCGTTTTTACTTCCTTTTATCGTTTATTACGCGTCGGTGTACGCATTCGACGTTGGGAATTACGCGACGCCAGCTTATTGGAGAGCGTGTAACAGTATTATGACTCGAGAGTCCTTTGCGCGATCGACGTTTTGGAAAATTCTTTAGCCGAACTCAAACTCCGTTAACACTTATCACGTTCACGGCCAGAATGAACCTACGAAGCTAAAATCTTTTTCCATCTAATTCGAAACGATCTAACGTTTGTCAGAATACTTTGTAATCTACTCAAATTCCAAAGTCCTATCAAAGTTTATTTCCTTACCTTAAAAGGTAAATGTCTTGCAGAAAAGATTTTTTTATTTATATGCTCCTTTAAAATAGTGCAAATATTATACAAATTTAATGCCACACGAATGTCTGTAACAAACAATCAAGATTTATTTTCTTTGACATCTTGAGAATTAATTCTTTTATAAATATTAGAAGAAATCAGTCTGTAACAAATAGACTACAAATGTTTTTGTAAATTCACATTTGCCATAAATTAAACGATCAACATTTTCCACGATCCTTTACGCCTTTACCTTACCAAATAGTTTAATTTTCATTTTGATAGATCCCGAGGGTAACTCAAACACGGAGAAGCATTTTAAATACCGTTACATTTGAGGGTCTCAAATATTGGTTTTCGTGTTTCGAAAATATTTGTAGGATTTAACCCGTGTCTGTAAAAAAAACCCACGCGGCATGGTCAGAGCAAATACGTTTTCTACACCGCGTGTATCGCTCTCAAGGTACAGATACGGGGTGTACCAAAACATTTGGGTGCTTCAATAGTGGATTAGGGGCATAAAAAGTATGGGAAAAGTTCGTATAAACGTCTGCCCTATTTGGCCTTGTTCCCAAGTTATGGCCATTTGTGTACTCTGGTAATTCTTAAACGCAAACTGAGTTAACATTACTGCTTCCATCGAATGGTTTGTATACAATGTTCGATAACTCTAAACTGCAATTGATATAATTATCATTGTTATTACAATTATCCTCATTTGTGCTGTTCTCCCTATTTAATCACGAACAACAGTTCTGTGTATACGCATGAATAGATCTAATTAACAATAGCGTAATCCGACCTGTTTTCCCTGATGCAAGACTATCGGATTACTTAATTGTTCCAGTTATCAATTGAATGAGATTTTATTTTTGGAATCTTGGTATCTGTAATGTTATATTAGAAACTTGATTATAATTAATACTAGATACTAATTAATATGGAATAGGTCATTGAGATAAATGTTCATGCAATTGATGTACTAAATATATATTAACCGAAAATTTAGAAGACCTTTTTCCTAAAATTCAATTTCTGTGAAGAACTTCCAACTTCTCAATTTTTATTTTCGAAACTAGGCGTCCTATGAATAAACTGTAAATATAAAAAAGTTTCGTTTCATCACCCCGTATAAGCTAATATTTTTTAAATATTGATTTAACGAATGCAAACATTTCTCTGAACCCATTTCTAGTTTTGTGGCCACTTAAACATCTCGCATCCACGCCATCGTTTCCGATACAAACCAGTTTCGTATAATTTATATTGTTCGTAGCATCGAAGCCTATCTTCGGAAAACATTCCACAAACTATATTAATCTAAAGTTATTCCGAACTCTCGTACAATTCCACGCTTGCCGTTCGTCTTTTCCGTGGCTGGTAATAACAGGAATATATTTGAATAAATATAACTCATACGAATATTTAGTTCCGTGCCAAAATTACTCCTCGTGAGATCGTATTGTTTCATAGCGTGGACGAAAATATAGTCGACGAAAACGATGTAGAGTGAGTTCATACATAGCGTGATATCGCGTTGAGTAATTTTGTGTTAAATGTAAATGTGTCGTAGAGAATTATTTTGCTTTGTGGTCTTTTAATAACCCCACGTCATAAAATAATACATATTTCAAATATAGTTTGTGGGAGATCTCCCGCATAACTTGATCCTTGATGTAAACGTCCATGTCGTCGATCCTCCTTTGAACAGGACCGTTTGATAGCGAAACTGCATCAAGTTAGGCCCCTCATTCATTTCCCAACACAATTTCCACATCTTTAAGAGATGAAGGTTTGATCAAAGTTCCTCTGAATGTACGTGACCGTTTCTGCTTTGCTGTTTTCAGTCCACCACCTACAAAGCTTCTGCGACCTTTTGCCGTCTTCCTTGGAGTTGCTTTGTTCCGTTCAACTTCATCTGTTCAACAGACAACTATTTGCAGAATCATTCCACGAAGCTTTAGGAAAATGACTCTGTATATTTTAGTAACGAGCTACGGTATTTTTATTATGTACAAAAATACTTTTCCTATGACACAGAATTTTTTGTATACTATGCGCCGGTTTAACAATGCTGTTAAGAAAGGAACAAAGCAAAACCCGATATAAAATAGGCCAATTGAAATTGTGTCGAAATATGTTCAGTCATTTTCGAGTTACCCCGGAACAAACATTCAAACGAACAAGCGAAAATTCGGGAAATACGTATGTTTGGATTCGGTATCCTGGAATATATCGAATATATCGAAAGTTTGTTAAAAAAGTAACTACCCTTAAGATACCTACCATCAAAGATTGAGACATTAAAAAAACTCTCTGTAACTTTGTTTATGTGACCTAAGACATTATGATAACGTTAAAAAGTTTATGCGAATATATATATATATATGGGTCATGTTATAATATGTGGGAACTACTTCGAAAACAATGTAAGAAATGTAATAAATATGTGCTCCACTTGACTTTGTTCCGGAGTTATTGCCATTTTTGTAGCCCAGTAATGTGCAGCTACTTATCTTCACAGAAAGTGCTTGGAATGGCCGTCTTCGCCCAGAATACATGCCCGCAGACGTTCTGTCATAGAGTTTCTCAAAGTTTCAAATATTCCAGGCATTTGTCGGACTCGTTGGTAGCCCCGCTCGTATACGTTACCGACGTATTTCAAAACTGCCACGCGGCATTAAACAAACGAATGTTTTTAACCCTTTCGAGTCTCCACTTGGAGTGATTTCTCTTTTCGTGGATGCATATCGCTCCTTTTTGCTGCGAATATTCGGGAAATTGCAAAACAAAAATTTCGATTGTTTTTCATAAGGTACGACACTTTTGTTACGTACGAAAATACTTTACCTATGGTGTAGAATTTTTCTTGCATAAAACAAATGTTTTTCATAAGGGACAGCATTTTTATTGTATCACGAATATATTTTTCCTATGATACAGCATTTTTATTATGTAACAAAAATGTCTTTCGTAACGTACAGCATTTTTTATTATGTACGGAATT